TCTTATTCTTCTTTACCTCAATTTTTACTCAAAATTATGAACACGAATCTATTATGTAATATCACTGAAGGCTAAAAGATTGTATAGATTAATCAAAATCAAAATATGTGAACGTTAAACATAAAGATATGATGCACATATCTATAGTAATATAAAGAGGTTGTTGTAAAAAATACATAAATAGTAACTTTGACTAAAGAATAAATGGTTGACTTACTATTATAAGTAATATTCTAAAACCCAAATGTGGTAATGATTTTCAGAAAATTTGATGACCTGCTTGGATCTTTTAGCAGACAATTTGGTAAGGTGTTCCGATTTTTTAATCTTTTTTTTTTTTTTGGTAAATTTAATAATTTGTTCAGATTTTTTAGCCTTTTATTTTTGTAACAACCTTATCTGTTCAGCTTTTTTTATTTTCTTAACTACTTTGATAATTATCCACACAAAATCTTGAGCTTTAAAAAATCTTACATACCATCTTTTCAAATCCTTATTTTTAGTAACCAAATTGATAATTTTTTGTAAAATCGTCTTGATTAATGCTTTTGAAAATTTGATTTTTTAATCAATCCAAAAGTGTTACCTTATTTGATGATAACAAAATCCATTGTTTTTAGTAAAAATAAAGTCAAGTTGATATGATGAAATAATCTTCAGTCCTATTTGTCATCCTCACGCATATTTTGAATCTTTTTTTTTTTTTTACTTTTTTTTAATAAATTGATTAACTTATTGATGTTGCTTAAAAATAACATAACATAATTTCAAGCTTTTGGTATTTCAAATACAATATACAACATGTTTCATATTCTTTTTTTTTTTAATAAAATAGGATAAATATTTTGTTGACGTCAATCATAATCAAATTATTTAAGAAAATATATTTAAATCAACTTAAAATCCTAAAGCAAATAATTTTAAATTTGGTCATCCATTTATGTCAAGTAATAGCGATACACTTCTAATACAACACTTTCAAGTAAATTTTGATACACATTAAAAAATGTCAACAAATAATTATATTCCATAAAATAATTCTCTTTGTATTTCCTAACAAAATTTGTGTTAATTTCCAAATTTTGACATATTTTTTCTTTCTAAAAACTAAGACCGATCAATTAATGTTGGAATGTATATTCTGTGCCTATATGCTAAGATTTTTTTCAACTAATAGTTATACACTTCCAATACAACTCTTTCATGTAATGTAATCAATTGCTATCCGATAAACATTTAGAGATTTTTTAGGTAATGAGAAGTGAAATCAATTTATACTTCCTATCATTTTCTTCTTTTCTAACAATATCTATTAGATTCTCAACGTTGTGTTAATCATTATTTAATTAGTTTTAAAAAATAAAACCGAATCAATTTAATGTGAACCTTTATCTTTTTTTTTTTTCGAAACGATAGAGATATTATAAATAAACGCATAAAAGTGCAAAGAGACAACCAATAATTGAATAATACAACCAACGACTGAGAAAACTGGGAGGACAGGTTGATGACCGCCTAGACGAAAGCTAGCAAGGCTAGAATACTCGGCGACACACTAAAACACAAACACACTACAGAAACTACGAACGACCCCAACAGGGTAATATTGACGGCCCCAACAAGGTAATATTGGGCAACACAGAGGCCAACGGCCCAAACCAAAAACATAAGACTCAAAGTCAAATAAAGATCCAACTAAAGACTAAAGACAAATAACAAAGCGAGGCCCTCCCTCATCAACAGAACATCCGAATTGAACAACAAACATAGGTTGACTCCAAGAAGTGAGTCGAGACACAGGAACCCCGCCCGCCACTGCCTAAAGCCTAGCAAAGACGAGGACCTAAAACTCGAATCAATCCAAAACAGAACAACCCGCTCTCCAACCACATGAGACCACAATCGACCCCCAACCGGCTAACACCACTAGCCAAATTCGGTACCATTCCAAGATTGTCTATCACCACTAGCCAGTTTCGATAACGGTCGGCCTCCCACGATAGTAAGAGGAAGGAACACGAATGGTACCTCAGCCTGGCCACTCCGATACAGCCCGAACCATCGACAACTGCCGACCCTACCCTCAAGGACGAACCCCATCCCAAACACCATTGCAACGCTGAGGGATTTGAGATCGAAAAGCTGCCCGCCGACAACAGGAAAGCAGAGACGACGGACTAAGGTAAGAGAAGAACACCAAGCCGCATCCTAGTCATTGGGCATCGCTCCCCACTAGAACCCCATCGCTATAAAACGACGGCGACCCTCGACAAACCCAACAACGCCGGAACTAACGAAAACCTAGCCCGCCCCCCCTTTGGTGATAAACCCCAGAGAAGAGCTCCACCATCCGACGAAGGATACGCGGCGGGAGAGCCGTCCACCGGCGAACCCGGCCGGCTGCTAAAGGAGGCACAATTTGACTGAAAAATGACGGTGAAAGAAGGGTGATTTATGGCGATATTTGGGGGAGGAGATGCTTTGTTAAGACTATCTTGCAGTTAATGTGAACCTTTATCAGATTACCAAATATTTGAAAATTCGATTTTAAAATATATATATATATATATATATATATATATATATATATATTAAATTCGACTTTATAGGTAGATGGAACATACATAATCACTATATAAACAACACAAACATTGAACAAAAAATCAATAGCAAATAATACATCCCACATAACAAATTTTTGAATCAACTTTTCCATCATCATTCAAAATGACTTTGATTTTTTGACAATCATGGATATCACAAGAACTTATAGTCCAATTACCAAATCACACATCATTAGAATGTACTAACGAGTTGAAGACGAGCGCAATTATCGAAACGTTCTTGAGATTATCTTTCACGATTCTGAGGTAATTTGTTCTTACATTAATTATTATTTATATTCATCGTTTTATGCTACATCTTTCATTAATTATTTATTGAATTAATGAATATGCTATCTTAGGGAGAACAAATTACTAGCATAATCCGACCCGTCAATATTTTAAAATTCATCGGCGAAATTGAAGAATGTGGCACTTATATATTGAAAAACTACTAAGTGAAAAACACTATTGGTATCTATAAATCGACGATATGCACTTGGAGGATCATTATAAACGGCCAAACCAAGATTCACAAGTGAAGGGGTGATTTTCCTATGTATCGTGTTAGTGTTAAGCTACCTATTGTTAGACATTTATTTTTAAAATTCCATATAATTTTACATTCAAAAATCATATTTCTATATAGATTCAAGTTTAATATTTTATAATAGAAATACATAATTTTAGGAAAATGCTACCTCCCTTTAAGGAACTATTTCGTCGAGGCTTGTAACCGTTAGATCAACTATCCCGACAGTTATATGATGATACAACGGTTACAAATCTCGACGGAATGATTCCGTAACAAGATCGTACTATCTCCCCATAATTTTATTAAAGGAATTTATGAATGTCTAATGACACCCAACTCATTAAATTATCATTGTCTTGTGGTATAGTCAAGTCAAAACATGACAAGTGAAACTCAATAGACGCGTTAATAAAATGATATATGAAATAATAATTAAAAAAAATAATTATATTCATGGCTCTCCGCGTACGGTCTTCAATTCTTTTGCTAAAGACATATTATCTTGTCAACCCTTAATAATCAACTTACAAACAACTGAGTGTTTTAAATTCAGCATCTAATTATTTCCTCATTTATTTATTTATTTATTGGCTGTCACGTTGAATATGATGACCATGCAGATTCTGTACTGTTTTTCATTTGTTCTTCAGTATTTTTTTAATGGGATCTAAAAAGAAAGCAATTCCATTTAGGAAGACACGAGTCTAACGTCTTATATCAAAAAAAATGAGAAATGTTACGGTCTTATTACAGAATTATTTCATCGGAGTTCGTAACCGTTAGATCAACTATTCCCAACAGTTACATGATGATCCAACATTATAAATTCCAATGGAAGAGTTCCGTAACGGGACCCTAGTATTTCTGTAGATTATGGAAACAAAACCCAAGTATAAAAGTATTTTTTTGTAATTTTTATTTTTAAAACATAAAAAATGCATAAAAAATATTATAAATATACGGATTTTTGGGCAATTAACCTTCTCCTTTGTCAATTGAATTTATAAAGAAAGGTAGAATTTAATTTATTGAAGATGATACGGTCCCGTTACGGAATCATTTCGTCGGAATTTGTAACCGTTAGATCATAATGCAACCGTTGAGGATAGATGATCTAACGGTTACAAAATCCCGACGGAATGGTTTCGTAACATGACCGTAATATTTTTCTTAATTTATAAAAGGTTAGGATAATTTGTAAGATTTTCTCATATTTAATAATCCTTAAACAGAAAAATGTTCACCTACTCACGATGGACACATGTTAATATGCTCACCGCGTAGGTGGCATGCACTCATTGGTGATGTATTTTTTTAAACACATTAACGTCACCAATGAATGCATGCCACCTACGCGTTGACATATTAACATATGTCCACCGTGGGTAGGAGAGCATTTCTATCCCTAAACAATGTCAACCAGTACAACGTTAGGGACAAAAAAAAAATAATTAAAAAAATAAATATAAATAAATTAATAAATAAGTAAATAATCAAAAGGGTCAGACCCACTTACCGCCGGCGGACCCCTACCGAAACCGTCGGTGGCCTTTTTTTCTGAAGGTACAACCACCCTATGCAGCATTACGATTGTACCTTCTAATCGCCAAAATAACCACACTCACATTCTTCATTTATTTAAGACACAACAGCCACTCACAGTCACAGTTCACACACCGCCATTGCTATTCACCATTTCAAAGCTCAATTTTTTACTAAAAAAATCCGTTCTTTTTTTCCCTGAGACTCACAAAATCTCGATCACCAAGAAACCCTCATTTTTTTCTGTGTATAAAAAAGTGAACTCGCTGATTTTCATCACTGTTAGTGGCTCAATTAGCCGGAAAAAAGGGGGGTAAAAGATGAGAGATGAAGAGGCCCAGAAGCCCCAAACAGCTCCCAGCAGCAGCAGCTGCACGAATCTAGCGACGAGCTTCGGCGGCAAGAGGGATAGCCCTAATTTGGAGGGGCTGTTTGGGAGGGGCAAGTATAAATTGTGGGCTCTGACCGCCATAACCCTGCTCGCGCTCTGGTCAATGTTCACCGGCTCCGTCACTCTGAAATCGTCCGCCGTCAACCTTGACCGCTTGTCTGAGGACTTGGAACCCTACTCCCATGGCGACCTTGATGTTTTGGTAATTATTATTCCCTTTTGTTATGTTCTGTTATTGTGTTTGCTGAGTTTATAAGAGGAGAGGATGTGATGAGATCTGATAAATTACTGTGTATTGTGAGCTGTGGAGAATGGAGATGGAAGCTTCTGGAATTTTCTTGGATTGAAAATGAGTTGTTTTTGTGTGATTGAATTTCTGGAATTGAGATTTTTGATAATTTCTACATCTGTAAAGGCTGGGTTTTAAAAGGCTGAAACTGTGAAAACGTGACAAAGTTCGAATATTTTGGGGGTTAGAAAAGATTTAACCCAAAATAAGTAAGATTTTGTAGAATCACTTAAGTCTATGAGTTGGTATTTGATGATTTATGGAACTTTTCTGTGGTTCATTTGTTTCGATTTTTCGGAACATCGATAGGATGTGGACGAAAGGGAGAAAATGGTGAGGCAAATGTGGAATGTGTACCAACATAGCAATATTGCTCGGCTGCCGAGTTTCTGGAGAGATGCATTCGGGGCAGCATACGAAGAGCTGACGAGCGAGATTTCCAGTATACGAAATGGCGCCATTTTAGAGATTGCCAAAATGTCTTTCTGGTCCCACGACATATACGACTCGCCTCCTACAGAATCAACTTCTCGGTACGTAACTATATTTTTTTTTTCACTTTCTACGATGCATTATGGAAGTGTCAATGTTTTTTTATGTCTTGGGGAGTTCAGTATGGTGGTATATTTTGGTGTAAGGTTTTGTTTTCTAATTGGAAAGTTGAATTTGGAAACCGAGTAATGTGATTTCGGTTCTGTAAAAATTGGAGATTAGTCGTGTAACTAACACAAAATTGATAAATAATCTGTTGATTGTGTTGATTTTACAAAACACCGGTTGATTTTACAAAATAAAAACACCATGTAACTGAAAAAAAAAAAAAAAAA